ATTTGAAACAGTTATTTACTCTTATGCTTCCATTCAGTCATGTTTAGTCTTTTTACTTCCTTGTACGAAGTAAAAAGGAAGTATTGTAATCGCGAAAAGTTTCAGGCAACATATTTCAACGAAAATATCCATTTTGACCGCTATCGAAAGCAATTTAACGATGTTTTTGAGTGATATCTGTGCGTAAGGACAGGATAAAAGACACCTTTCCTCTTAAAAAATTATAAAACTGCTTTAAAATTAATTCTGAAGAGAATTTATCGTGGCGTCTGTACGAACGTACGTATCTCGCATAACTCAAAAACGAGTAGCCTCAGAATGTTGAAATTTTGTATATAGGACTGCTATAACATGTAGATGTGCACCTCGTATTTTGGTTGCAATCGGCCGCACCAAACGTATATAAATATATTTATATATATCCACTTTGTTACCCGGCTCAGTGATCTCAGTATCTTTACTCGGTACTTTTCCGTTTTGCCGGCGCAAGCGATAAAGTCGCCAATAATGGTACAACCGATGCCAAACGGAATATTCTCGCTGGTAACCTTTTACGCCTCATTTTCAAAACAAGTCGCAGCTTTTTCTTATCAGATTGATTGTTTCTTTCAATACTAGCATATAATTACATAGAATTTTTATCAGATAGTTCAGTTTTATGTCTAAGGCCATTTTCGGTAATTAGGTCAATTAGGATGCTATCACAGCTCTTACCCGAAGCCGAAAATATAGAAAAGGAAAGTCAAGGGTTAAATTCGTCAATTCTAATGAGAATGCAGTAGTGAAGTAAAGCACTGCAGTTTTACATAATTTCTGAGTAAGCTATTCGTACGCATTGAAATATTTCTTGCATTTAAACTTGTGTTTCAAATTAAGATTTAACTTGAAATTAATGTAGATAATTACTGAGAGCATTAGATTTTTGTAGAGTTGTTTACGTGAGATGAGATCGCTTGGAGTCACGTGATATGAACCGGCGAATTAGGATGTTGAACCATGAAAGCATAGTAAATTCTTAAATTAATGTCTTTTTACAAATTTATTGTCTTTATTTTATTGGCTTTTAATAAAGTTTTAAGCGATATTAAAATGTTTATGCCTTAAAAAAAAAAAAAAAAAGAATTCTTAAAACTAAAATTTTTTATGTGTATACTGTATGTTGTCGCCAATAAAGTCTGCTTGGCGAGATTTGCGCCGACGAAACGGAAAAGTACCCTTTACTCTTATATGTTTGTAAATTGTACATTTTTTGCTTTAAAAATGATTGAATTATGTTATTTTTATCTTCCGGTTAAGGTTTTTTCGTAATTCTGGAAGCACTATTTGTACAATTGTCAACAATATAAAAGCTGTTTAAGTGCGGTTAAGTTTTAAATAACTTGGCGGACATATTTGTTTACATTTGAAACAGCAGAATTGTAGATTTGTTGCCAATCTAGAAAGACTAAGCTTCGCAACACAAAAATAATGCCTTCATTTATTATTGCGAATTAAATCATGCTCAATCCTTTTTGGAATTTTTTCGAGGAAATAAGTGTTTAAGATTTACTTCGTAATTTTTAATGCAGATATTTTGAGTTTTTATATATTTTTGCCTTGTCGCGAAGTGAGAGCTGAATTAATTGAATGAGAAATAATCGTCTGTGAAAAACTGTTTCATTTCTGTTTTCTTTGCTCAATTTCTTTCATACGTCGTTTTAGCTTTATTATAGTATTTGAATAGAACATGTGGCAACGATAATTCTTCAAATGATATAAATTTTGTGCATTCAGAGTGTCGTTATAGTAAACAAATATAGCGAATTTTAAAGAGCGCATTTATTCTATTGTGGTTTATGCGCTGTCGACGAAGTAGATTTAATTCAATCTAATCAATTTAAATGAAATTCAAGAAAAAATGCGTATAATTTAATTTTCCGTACAAGGAAGTCATGTGGTGTACACATCAGATTTTTTATATAAATTATAAAAATAAAAAAGTATTATATGAAATTAACCCTTCATCTAAATTAAAACATCAATCTTTAGATAGTTCTTTACTATTATACCTCCCTTTTTACGATAGGGTTGCCGCAGTTATATTTGGCAGCACTGGCATCAACAATAGTTTGGCGATTTTTTACAGCCCTCAAAACCGAATAGTACCAATTTGACTTTATGTTCTTCTACACATTCAAATTCATCAGAATAACTTTTACCATTATCGTTAGCACTTAAGGCAAGTGATAAAATTTCGTTATCAAGAGTCATTAAACTAGCACTAATGCGTTCTAAAGTAGCTAATTTAATCTTAACATCATTTATTTCTATATTTTCATCATCAAACAGACATTAAACTTTTAGATGTCTTAGTAAACGATGTTCGTAACGGAGATCGCTTCTTAACAAGATGCTCCATTGCAAACCGAAACCAAAATTCAATTAATTATTTCTTAGATAAAGTACTCTATTTAATCACGTACTGAGAGTCACCAAATGTTAGATACGACAGTAAATACCATTTTGTCCATTCATCAACTTAATTTCTACCTAAATAATCTCTCAAAAATTTAAACACAACCAAACATGCTTATTCTACCAACTTAATAACATTTTACAGCTGTTGCCACTCAAGCAAAACTACAAAGGAAATTAATTTTACACTGGTTGAATGTAGATGAACAATGCTATACTCAACAATAATCATTCACCGCTGCAAAAAACCAAGAACGATACACCATAATGAATTGTGATGATCGATGTACATAGTGTATATAGTGTTTTTACTACTAGTGTATATAGTGTTTTTACTACTTTTCAATTTTTACTCTTTATTACCTTTACTTAATTGTGCTGGCAAAGCGATATGGACTTTGCGCCCCCCCTGGGGCAGCACTTTGATGTGTTAAAATTCAAACGACTGGTCACTGCAACTATGCTTCGCCCACTTCTGTTATATGCCTCAACTACTACGCCCACGATATTCTGTTGGCTTCAAGACACGGAGGAAGCTAGAGCCGTAGCACCCACGAGGACAAAGTTATGCCGAAGTTTTTATGCTACAGATGTGCAACTTTGCTTTTACGATGTGAATGTTATGCTTCAGATATGTTAAATCGCTATTTTACCCAAGTTACTGCTGTTACACTGTTACATTATGCCACATTGGCTGTGATTCAGCACTTCAAGTGCACAGGTTTGTTCCAAGATTTGGATTTATTTTTTCACTTTTAGGATACCCACTTACAACAGATATAGATAGGTGAAGACTTTAGGGTCGTATACCTACTAAATAAGCGAAAGCGACGACCTATTACTATCACATACATCAGAGCACCGCCGCCACGGTGATGAAGTGTCTCGCTTCTGCATGAGGCACAGTTCGCTAGTCTTGGACTGTGCGAGGGCGTAGCACGAGATTGCGTGATCATGCAAACGACGATGTTGTGCACAGTTAGGAAATCGTGCAACTCATGCAATTTTGTGGTGAGATTGATCGATTTGATCTTTAAATCTGTATTCTATGCGTGCCTAATCGCTTTCGAAATGTGTTATACCTGGTTAATATAAAAGCCTTGAAACAAAGAATGGAGTATGTGCTTCTGCTAGGACTAAAAGCATTTTAATCACGCATTCTTATCCAAACAATGAAAATTTTATCTTAAACTGCCTTATATTCACAAACTGTATCGTTTAGATAAATGCTTTTGCAGACATTGCATAAAATAAATACAAAATCATTATTTCCATTGTATTCATGCTTGCTAAAAAGCGGAAATTGTTTGAGTTTGCTATTGATCCACATTAGTCGGACCATTTTCAAAAAGCAATGTTTCGTAAAATGAACAGCGCAAGATGCCAGAGGTAAATGAAAATTTTTAAAATTGCTTTTCCATTATGATAGCTGAGGGAACACAGTTTGTCAGCCTCATATTTCTAACTAATTTCAACCTCGAATTTGAAAAGTGATGAAAATTCTTTTAACATTTAAGGAGACAGTTTCGCAAGTTTTGTTTAGAATGTTCAAAATGCTTCATACAGGCATATTAGTCTATATCTTAAAAAGTGTCTACCAATATGCAGATTTTTTCCTTGGCATTAATTTTATTTCTAAGGCCCATAACACACGCGCATTTGTTTCACACGAACACCTGTTTCGGACAACTTTTCTGCCTGGTTTACCATTGAAAGAGACGCTCGATTTTGTTTTCCTTCCTTTCGGAAAAAATTGAAATTTGTTCGTTTTCAACCAATCAGCTGTCAGCTTCGAATGCCATCAGCTTGTTTGTAATGGGTTATTCAATTACGGCAAAGCACACGAGGGCTATCTGCCTAAAGGGAGGGATGCCTTCGTGGAGGACTTTCTAAGGGAAACTGGCTCGTATACACATTACACATGGGAAAACCACGAAAATGCCCATGAAGCCAGCTCATTCGCTGGATTCGAACCTCGAACCGAACTACCAGTGTTCAGCGTCTTTACCGCTCGGCCGCTGGTGAGCTGTTTGTAATGGAGAACCAGTTTCCTCTGTGTTACCCTAAAGCTCACTGTAGTGATTGACTTGTGACAAACGACTCGCTATTAATAACTCATTATTTATCATAGAACAATTAAATTAATATTGATTCCATCTTAAGCACACTTTGAAGTTTATTTTGCACAGAAACTTCGAACATTCCTTTTCGGCAATATCCTTAGTATCAATTTATGCAATCGTTGTTTAATGGTTACTATTGCATTTGTTTCAGTTAAACCTCCAAGTTTTAAAGACGGCTTTCGTCACCAATTTCAAGTGAGCGATATTGAAAAATTATGTCATTGGAACCGAAGTCAGTTAATCTGGAAAAACTTTGGCAATAATTAGTTTAAGACAACACATTTGTAAAATCATTAGGATTTTTACTGTCTTCGGCAAATTCACTTTCAGCATGAAGATTCATAAACTTCAGGAAATATGTTTTTGCTGGGCAGTGTATTAAAATCAAGTAAAGTAAATATAAATGTGAGCCAAAAGACAAACTTGGTGTATTAAAAATTGGTTTATTAAAAATAAAGACGGTACATTTAATGGAATATAAAACCTGATATGGCTTCTACACATATTAAGGAAACTGTGAAGTTAACTACTTAAAAAAATCCGACGACATTACAATAAAATGAGGAGCAGATAAAGTTGCCTGTATATTACATTAAAATGTTTCGCAAAAGCGAACCTTTGCAGCAATTAAAAAAGCATTTGATAGAGGACTTATGAGTCAGCTTAAAAGTAAGAGTCTAAATGTGTCTAACAGCAGACTTATGAAGGAGGTTTAGAGTCAGAGAATTTAACGTACCCGTTATTAAAAAACACTTCTCTTATAACTTGAAACTGACATTTCAACTCTAACCGGAATCAAGTCTCATTCACAGTACACATGCATTTTGCTTATACGTACAAAATACCGAAATTGGTACCCATGGACGACGCGTAAAATATGAAGTTGCTGCAAACTTCCCATAAATACGAATTCGAATAGCTGCTATTCCTAGAAATATTGCAAGAAGCCCAGTGCATTCCAGACGTCCGATTTTCCGAATTTGTTGATACCGCAAATTGGTAATTGAGAGCATCAAACACAGGCAGAAAGTAAGAATTGCTCGACAGATGCACCCATTGCAAAGAGTCTTCGCAGTTCACAGGTCGTGGCTCAAAACTTTTACACCAGAATAAAGTATACTTGACTTGATTCTTAACAACCTTCCAGGAAATGGTGAAGTAATATTTACTGGACATGACAATGATTTCTTCAGGCCCATCAAGCACTGAAAATAAACAAAGAAACTTAACGTAATTATTTTTCTTAATATGTACTAGAAAACCATTACATATGAAAGGGCAAAACTTACGTAATAACCTGATATTAAATTTTTCCGAAGTATGGAATTTTAAATCAGTCTCGTAGAATATAATTAAACATATCAAGTGCAAATAAGTGATATGCTCTGAAACAATACCTGGAATTCAGAGATAATGAGTAAAATATTTTGTGATTGCCCCATAATACATAGGGCTGAATTTTCTCTTTAAACGCATAGAACTACCTTATAACCGAGCCTTTCACAAATTCGGTATTTGTCTGGCTTTTGTATGTTTTGCACATATGTTTTATTCAGGAATTTTTAAGCGAGGCAGTTCCACATTTCCTTAAATTAAAATCCATTTGAAAGCTAAAATTATATGTCACATTTAGGCCGTTTAGTACAGTCCTATAGCACTTAAAATATTATACACACTACTATATAATACAACGCATATTATATCCTGTCACGCATGCGTTCATAAGAATACATGGATCGTATCATATATGCTAAACATATGTAAGATAGCGACTGATGCATTTGGAACCATGTTCTTGGAGAAAATTGCTAACTCGATAAAAGTTGCCCGTAAAAGCAATTAACTTCCCAGAAACTATTTCTTCCCATTTCGTCTAATCTTTTTCTCGTTTTAATTGCTCAATTTCATTCCTTAAATTAAGACTTTCTTCCTTCGTTGATTTTAAAGTTTATTTGTTGCGGTTTTGGAAAGTTAATTGCCTTTACAGCAAAATTTCTTAAGGAACAGAATGAAGAGAAAAAACAAAGCCATTTATTGAATGCGAAACCTAAAGCAAACTTTAAAATCAACGGAGGAAGCAAGTCTTAAGCTAAGGAATGAAATTGGGCGATCAAAACTAGAAAAACAATTAGACGGAATGAGAAGAAAAAATAGGTGTAAACTATAAAAATAATATTTGGATTATGCAATGTTTTTAATGAACTTCAGCTGTTATTCGTAAATCTTTCCAGTAGTATCAAAAATTCCCAAGTAAGTGCTCAGAAGGAAAATTACTGAAGCAGACTGGTAAGACTACAGACTGAATAACTGGAGAAAGAGTTTATTCTTGATTTGCAAACGTAGAGAGGAAGCTGAGATGGCTAGAGGGCGATGTGATCTCGTACGGAGTATCATGAATTGCAAACTTCGTCAATACATGAATTTGATGGATTTGTCCAATCAGAAGCGACGTTACGACTAATTTAAAAAATTAACATTTAGTCTTTCCGTTTCAAGTATTCCTTTGGTTTAAGAGCAAATTTGAATCTATCGACGAGGCCGTTGGCCTCCTTGCTCCTTACAGCAAGCTTAACAATTTTTCTAAGTTATTACGCAGATTAGGACCACCGAAAAGAAGAATACGCAGGATAGGAGAGTTGCGACTACCACCCTTTACACAGTTTGTGCGAAATGAATTAAACTTTACGATTCGGAAGAGTTTCTGAAAAAATAGCATGCTTTTTGAATTGATCCGAAATTATCTTTAGTCTTTCTCTCGACTCTTGGGTCTTTCAGAACGCGGGGAAAATTTTAACCGAGTTTTCTAGTGCTGGGAGCAGTGCCTATAGGGCTGTTAAAATCACAGGCAAGGGTTTTGGTGGTTCTGAAATAATAATAAAAATAAGAATTTGTAGATGTATTCATGTTATTCAATTATGAAAAGCATGCTAAGTCTCTACTCCTAAACAGGCTCTTTTTTCGAATTTCTAAACGAAACTGATTTGTATATAGGTTACAAATAGCTGAAATCACGAAAAATTCTTCTTCCAGCTAGGTCGTGCCCCGGAATCTGATCTACAAATGCTCAGCAGGCGTAACCATTTGACAGTGAGATGCCATACTAATTAGAATTAATTCAGCTGAATTAAAGTTTCGACTCTTTTACTCAGCAGAATTTCAAAATTGTCAGTTTAGGGCCCAACCAGTGGCCGAGTGGTTAAGCTAGCTGAATAGTGGAAGTTCGACCAGAATTCAACCCAAATCGAACGGGCTCGCTTTATGGTTTTTCTTTTTGAGTTTTTCCCCGTGTGTAACGTGAATACCAGCCAGTTTGCATTAGGCAACCAACTCCTCCATGAAAGTATCCCTTCTCTTAGGCAGAAAGCCTTTCTAGGCTTTGCCATATTCCACTAACGTAACCTAAACCAATTTTCCTAACCAATAAGTAAAAATAATTTCACATTAAACTATGCAGACGAATTTAACTTACAAACGAAAAATATTGAATGTGCAATTTTTTGATAGCGCAAGAAAATATTAAAATTAACATCTTTCCGATGGTACAAATACGGAAGTGAACAAATTTCGAGATAACTAGCTTCTTGAAAGTCAGTCAAAACTGATAGAGATTTGTCCTTAACAGGAAAAAAGCTATATATAACCGTTGGAAGAATTAAATTTAAAATAAAATGATGTTATAAATTCTGTAAGAAATTCCTTATTATGTTTTAAAGGAATATATATAGACTTCATGACTAAAAACATTCAGAACTTACATTTATCTGGTTCAATAATTATAAATGAAGAGTTAAGCGAATAACCAACTCTGTTCCTGGTATGTATTTCAAATTTATAGGATGAATTTAGTCCCATGTCTCGAAAACTGTGCTTTGTTTCTTTGCGGACGTTAACAGAGTGAAATGTTTCATTGCCAATAAGAGCTTCTTTCTCTTCATTTGTTCTAAAGAGTTGGTGAACGTGAAGAATATAACAAAATTCTGCTCCATTTTCGTGTGCCTCTGGTATGGCCTGCAATATAAATAAGAATCAGAATAAAGGAAAAGTTGCAAACAATTATGCAGTTTAAAATGAAGTTGTGATGAAAGTCTTACTTTCCAGTATAGGGTTATGGTTCTACCGACAGAAGAGTTAGTTTTGCCTTCAACTGGTTCGATAACAAATGAAGAATTTGTAATTTCCGCTGCCAAGTAGGGAACTAGAGAAAATGTTTTAATTAGAATATAATAACAATTGTAACACAAGAAGAATGAATTTAAAAAGTAATAATATTGCAAATGCTAAAATATTTTGAAAACAAATTTGTCCCGAGTATGTTGTCGGATATACTTAAAAAAATCCTCAAAATTTCTCAGAGAGTTAAGACAAAAGTCTGTTTAAAAAGTAAGATCAGTTAGTAATAAATATAAAAAAATTCAAAATTATTTTGACCAAGATTTATAGATTTTTGAAATATACCAAGAATTACGATCTTGTATTATATATATAGATAAAAGGAATGCTGTAAAACAACTTAAAAATGAATAGGAATTTAATTGTTCACCTAATATTTCTATAGCTTTTTTTTTTAAAAATTTATAGCAACAAATATAATCGAGGAAAGTTGGAATTAATGTACACTCGCTGCTCTAAACACATGCACACACAACTTCTGAAATGTAAGACATTATTGAGCGAAATTGTTAAAATTTCTTAAAATTCCATAACCCTTACCATCAGATCGTGTTATAGCATAAGTTTTCAAAGAAGGGCTCCACATGTCACCGACTGAATCATTGTATTTGCAGCGAATGTTAAATTGATATTCTGTGTACGGTATCAAACCTTGAATCGCTGCAGAGCCTCCATTCGTAAAAGATAGCACCATTTCCTGAAATAAAGAATTCCTGTTACAGATATCTAGTCGAAACAAAACTTAAAGTTAAAATTAAGCTAGAATAGGGACCAATATGGAAATTAATACTAATCGTTTAGAAGCAGGTCTACCACATTTCGCCTTGGTTGGTTGGTTGGTTGATTTTTAATGGCCCAAAACCTCGAGGGTTATGCGCCAGACATATGGTGAATAAAATTCAAGATGCACAAACACACTGTATCAAATAAATTGATGAAATGAATCTGAAATGCTGATGTAGGCATGGGGAATTGACTTCAAATTTTGCCTTGAAAATAAAGTATGAAGGCAAGATCGATAATTAAGTCAAGCATCACAGTGAACTTACTGGATAAGTATACTTTCATAGTTTCGGTAATGCTGCGATTTTATCCGAATGAATAATACTAAATTAAGCCGTTGCAAACAAGAAAATTATTAATTACAGGCTAACAGTATTTACGCAAATTGTTTTTTGGGATAATCCGAAGTGAATAACCAAACGTTTGGGGAAAAGAAGTATTTGGGCCGAATAATTCTCACCAAAATATCAAATGCAGTTCTTCGAAAAATCTCGAAGCAAAATGAGATTGACAGTTGCAAATTATGTTTGCCCTGAATCCGGCAAAGCCTCGAGGGCTATCTGCTTAATGGGGAAGGATGCCTTCGTGGAGGACTTTCTAAGGGAAGCTGGCTCGTATACACGTTACACATGGGGAAAACCACGAAAACGCCCATGCAGCCAGCCCGTTCGCGGGATTCGAACCTCGGATCGAACTACCAGTGTTTAGCGACTTTACCGCTCTGCCGCTGGTGGGCCCAGATGGGATTATGTAATAATGCTGTGTACATGGAACGGAAGTTCGGTAACTAAGGTTGCATGGAGACTATACTTCATTAGAATTATTTTAATAGTTTTAGCAGAACTTTGAACATTTCCGTAGTACTCAAACCAATAAAAATTTTAAAATGTGTCGAATAAAATACATTAGCGAAATTTCAAAAAGCATGAAATTCTTAAAAGTTCCTTTTAATAATGTTACGAAGTGTAGTTTTCTCTGTAGTAAAATTAAACATCTATTTCGAAGTATAAAACGACGGAATGTTTAATTTTTTAGGATATTTACATTTCTTAACAAAGCAAAAAAGAATTATTTTGAGATATTCATCTAGGTTACTTAGAATAGTAATCTGTTCTATAAAGTACCCTAAAGACAACAGGTTTAATATTTTCATACAATTTTTTGCAGCGGACTTGCTAAGACTACAGTCTATACCAAAATTTCTATATTCGGGATTTTTGTCTGTTAAATTCATAGAATACGAGGTATCAAATGTAAGTAAATGCTACGAAATATAAGAAGCTATTTTCTGAAAATCAAGAAACTAAAGATATCTTAATAACCTGAATTTTAATGATACACATAAAATCATGCTTGTAATTTTATAAAATCTACAATGCAAATTCATATTCTACTTTTTCTGGCCAGTTTTTCTGAGCAATTAAGTGCGTAATTCAGCCATACCATTTTACTATGGAGGTAAAAGCTTGCTGTGGATATTAGTTGCATCAGTATTAGGGGCTTTAATGCGCAATAAGTATGAAACGAACTTCAGAATTAATCGCAATTACATTTAATGAGATACAGCAATAAAATAGTACTGAAAAATAAAAAGAATTAAAATTTTTTAACCGAAATTTCTTATAACGCTAGGTTTGAATGAGTGGAAATTTATTTCATAAATAAAAGGACGTTTTTAATAACTTTGGTTAACTTTGGATTCTAATGATTAAGATTTAAATTATGTTGCCATAATTCGCATATACAAAACCTCCGACTATCCTACGTTGAATGAAAATCGAAATTTAACCGCGTGTTAATCCGTAAGAGGAATCTAATAAAATGGATACTTATTTTCCGAACCGATCAAAGAATTATGTTTGTATTCTGCATTAGCACAGCTGGTATAAAGAAACTTAAAGATAGACTCTAGCAGTGTTCTCTTCAAATGACGTGAGATAGTGTAGAATATTGAAAATTCTTAAAGTCCCTTTGACTAAGAATTAAAAAATTTCCCCTTTTTCTATCAAAGTGAACAAAATATGTCATAAATAAGGTAAATTTCACATTTGGGATTTGTTTAACAAATGGGTTTTAAACCAAAGGCTGGGACTCGTATGTCCCAGCCGTAGGTAATGGTGGGATACACATGTCCCACACGCAGCGATCGACTTACTACAAGCACACCTATTATTCTGGAAAAATTTTATTATATGAAACAGACTTTACATCTTATGGTAAAAGGTAAAGCATTCCTTGCGTAACCTAACATTAGGGCAACTCATATTTGTTCTTTCCTTTGAGTACAACGAGCAAATCGGCGCCTTGATTTTCCAACTATTGGAAGATGATCTCCAACATTCAGGAGTTAAGTACTTTTTGACCCAGTAGTAATTTTTAAACTTTTAGTGGGACATTTTATCCCTTTAGTAGTCAAAGGGTTAAAAAAATCGCATCCGACAAAGTTCCGTTCCTGAACCGTTTTTCAAAATGTATAGTGATGCTAAAGTAAATCATGTTCCATGCAAAATTTAGATTTTCTTGTACACAGAATTTGAGGTAGATAATTGCGTTGATTTATCATAGTTTACAGTAAACTAACGTCAAAATTTGACTTTCTTGAAATATCGTTAATTTCAACATTCTGCCAGTAATTCTCTTTCTAAAGATAAAAATGCCATAATTTATAATTATTTTTGCTTTTATGTTGATGAAGGCAAGTGTCCAAATGTGGTAGCCTGTTTACATCCCCTCGTGTTGTTGCTTGAGAAAAGAATGAACTTCAAAATCCAGTAATTTTCATTTGCTTTCGCTCTGAAATGCAGATAATCATTCATCGCTGAACTTATGGTCGATGCCAATTTCATGCAATTTTGTGATACTTTCTTAATGGAAAACGGAACGCTGTGTATATGGGACAAGATAGCGATCAGCATATACAGTTCCGTTCGCTTCATGTGCACAACGATCCATTTTCGTTTACTAAGATTCGGAACTACGCAATTTAGCATCGGACGCAGCCTTGGCAGTGCACATGTAGCATTATATATTATTTAATTATTATCATTTATTATAATTTATCATTTACTAATCATTATATATATCATTTACTTGTTTTGTAGATTTTACGTAAGTACAGAGGTTGTTCGCACATTCTTCACTATGTTTCTACACCGTCATTTCCAAGACAATAAAGCTATTTTTAGCAGTGGAAGAAGTATTTTATCCCATTCCTCTTAACTTTCCAAACGTCCTTAAAGTCGAAAGAAGGTTGCAGGTCGATGTCTGGACATTCTGCTTTTTAAAAGTCGAAATAAAAATAATATAAGCAAAAATGCCTGGATGATAAATTAGGATATATCAGTTCTGCCGATTGATAGCACTGAATAAAGAGAAGGTACTTTATATTTGAAAATTGGGTATAAAACATGTTCCTGTCAACATATGCAGTTGACTTGAACACTTTTCTGAACTCTCAAATTTTTATTTAACCTTATATCAAAAACCAGCAACGATTACAAATCCCTTGGAAAAACTTAGATTCTTTGAACCATGTTCTAAGATTTTTTTTTCTTCCGTTTGATAATAAATGGATCTCTTTATTTCGGTCATTCAAATATACCCAAGATTCATTTATTGCGAGATTTTTCAATTTTTGAACGAATGACTGTTTCCCGTAAAAAAATTCTGTAGCGCGTGCTGGATTCGGCAATATGTTTTGGAGAAAGGCTATGTTCATTCCTTTTTTTTCGCCTTTTTAGGATTCAAATCAGCATTAATCACTTTATCTACGGACACTGGGCACTTTAATGATTATGCAAATGTCGTTTGACTTCGAGAATTTTCTTTTAACATTATAGTTTTTACTTTTGGAACATTCGAAACATTGTTTTTCCCTTGGATATGTATTTTGAACAAATTTTCTCCTTGAAGACAAATATTGATGTGTTTTTCCTTTCTTATTGACAATATTATCTATCGCTGGTTTAGAAACCGAAAATTCATAGCTTTCACAGAATTTTTTACCAACTAAATACTAATAATTTTCTTCTGAAAGATCGCAAACAGCCTTTCGTCGTCTATTGCTTCCTTAGAAGAGCCATTTTGAGCGAAAACAAGATTGTTAAATAGCAGACGATAATTTACACTTTAAAAAAAATAGTTGCAGTTAAAACGTTTTCCACGCGGGTAATTGTTTTTGTAGAAAAGCAAAGTCTTCTAAAAAAGGTGCTTATAATCTCCGAAAAATAAGTTATTTTAAATTGTCAATTTATATGCAAAATAGTTATATTTTAGGAAGCTGACTTTACATAAAGCTTTACGTTAATACTTTAAACATCTACTATTGTGCCAACGGGTCGGTGTTTGGCTTAAGTGGACCTGCGCATTAACAATTTTTAGAAATTTAACAAAATACGAGTATCGATCATACCAAATCCTTTGCTTCGGAAATTGGTTTAATTTTCTTGAAATTTTCGAATTAATGGCAAAAGCAATAGCAAACTGCATTCTGTATTATCTACAATTTAATATTACATTAGTTTCAAAACAAGCTTAGTCATACCTGAAATAATGTTGGATAATCATACACAGTGCGATACCTGATGGAATACGTCAGAAGGGGTTGAAATTCGTTATAATTCACATCTTCAGGAGGACTCCAATGAAGAATCAAAGAAGTCGCCATAACATTGGTGAAAGACGCATTTAATGGAGCACTCGGTCTGGCTGTAGTAACAAAATCATTTAAAGTTTCGATGAAAATCATTGAAATTCTATGTAATAGTTAGACATTATGAAATTTAAATTGCAAACATACGTGATCTTAAATGTGCAGGTAAAGCTTAGAATCATGCATTTTTTAAAATTTTAACAATTCCATATACGTAAAAGTTTGGCAAAAGTAGGAAATTTACGATATACATTACATTAGCGAGTTAAGCGCCAAGCATGTTTAGTTTCTCTCTCAATTCATTCCACGATATCCAAATTGACCGATAAGTTGGCGGACGGAATCTGAAACAATTTAGTAGAATACAAATTTTTGAATTGCATCGCAATGACCGACGCCCTCCGAACGAAAAATATACCCTCAAACACCGATGACCGACATGGCGTTTAAAGTGTTAATCCTTTAAATCTGAAATAATGGAAATTATATATTTGAAATCATTACATATATTTACATTAAATTCATGCAAAGCAGAAAAATCTCACATTTGAGAAAATCAGGTAAGTATATCGATTAAGTAACAAAACGCATCAGCATTGGGAGACCTGGAAGGCATATTTTAGTTAATCTAAATAGCATAATTCCAAGAACAACGATTATACAGGGTGCATTGTAAATCACCTGTTTTTAAGGAGAGTGTTAATGCATCAACATTGTGGTGTTAAACTCCAATGAAAACGCTAATGACGGAACACCACATGAAAATTTTATTGAACGCCCCCCCCCCAAAAAAAATGGCTACATACCATCAACAACAGAAAAACTCAATCTTTTTCTTAAAATCAAATTCTATACATTTTACGTGCGAGAGCAATACGTGGCTCTCGAACTTGCGTTTTTAACACTGCCAACAATTTAATTATTTTAATAACAACTATTTTAACAACTATTGAAACATATTCGCAAGCTAAATAATAATAATTTTCATCTTATGCTCACGAGACATCCTTGTCCATATTAATCTTAAGTTTTCTTCTTCCTTTATGCGACCTTACCACAAGAGAATATACAAGGTTGTAACGGATATTCAATGGCAACTCTGATACGTAACAGAAGCTTCACCATTTGTGTTTCAGGATGGCAGACCCCCTATACTCTGCTTCTATTCTTGGCGAATGGCGCTGGGCAATAATTTTCAATAAAGATGGACCAATCTTTATTGTTCTAGAACTCCAGACTGACGTTTTCCTTGGTTGCGCCAAATGCGATGTGTATTGGATTCGTTTGGTTTGGTTTATGTAATTACGGCAAAGCTTCGTGGTCTATCCGTTAAGGGGAGGGATGCCTTCGCAGAGGACTTTCTAAGGAAAACTGGATCGTATACACGTTACACATGGGGGGAAAACCACAAAAACGCCCATGCAGCCAGCTTGTTCACGGATTAAGAGTCTCGAACCGAAAAACCGGTGTTCGGCGAATTTACCACTCGGCCGCTGGTGGGCAGTACTGGATTCGTTGCAGAATTCTGTATAAACTTGAGACATGAATCTGCAGTTTTGAAATCAGTACAGTTTCATTTCTTTAAAAAATTATGAATTATTGCTCAGAAGTTTACAGAAATGTATTGATAGTGCTGGTGGTTACATTGAATTTTGTATTGGTCATAAATGTAGTGAGGAGTCCACAGCAAAATGTTTTTACATTCACATCGGCTGAAACACTTTTTAAAGTTAAGAAATGACTTCTCAAGACACCCTGTTAATGGTAACTACCGAAACATTTAGCAAAGGTAAACCATGCAAAAATATCCAAAATGGATTCGCAACACATAATCCGGGACAGTTTCCTAATGATTTTAGTTCTATGTGTCGTCTCCCCCCCCTTACGTATTTAAACAGATATTTAAGTTGGAAAATGTATAATGGGTACTTTTCCGTTTCGCCGGCGCAAATCTTACCAAGCAGATTTTCTTGGCGACAATATACAGTATACACATAAAAAATTTTAACAAACTTTAGTTCTAAGAATTTTTTATTTTGAAGGCATAAACATTTTAATATGATTTAAAATTTTGTAAAAAGCAAATAAAGACAATAAATTTGTAAAAAGACATTAATTTAAGAATTTACCATGCTATCATGGTTCAACATCCTGATTCGTTGGTTCGTATCACGCGACTCCAAATAATCTCATGTAAACTACGCTACAAAAATCTAATTCTCTCAGTAATTATCTACATTAATTTCAAGTTAAATCTTAATTTAGAATACAAGTTTAAATGCAAGAATTATTTCAATTCGTACGAATAGCTTACTCAGAAATTATGTAAAACTGCAGTGCTTTACTTCGCTAGTGCGCATTCTCATTAGAATGGATGAATTTAACCATTGACTTTGCCTTTTCTATATTTTCGTCTTCGGGTGAGCGGCGTGATTGCAACCTAATTGACTTAATTACCGCGAATGGTGTTAGGGCATAAAATTTAATCATCTTTGTAAACATTCTGTGTAATTGTATACCAATATTGATATGAATAAGAATCAATCTGGTAAGAAATGGCTGCGACTATTTTGAAAATGAGGCATAAAAGGTTACCAGCGAAGATTAACACCGTTTGGCATCAGATGTAATATTATTGGCGACTTTATCGCTTGCGCTTGCAAAACGGTAAAGTACCGTATAATGAAGTATATTACAGAGCTCTTACTTAAAAATAATAATACATCTGTTAGTCTGTCACAAGATGCTGCTATACATTAGACTTATTTTAGCCACACACCATATGTTCTTCCTATTGTGGAAAAATTCTCGGATGAAAATTCTGCTTTAATGTAACGATGAAGGACTTCCGAAGTGAGAGTATCCAGAAAATAAGATCTTATGCGTTGCCTGATTTTTCAAGACCATGGCTCTGGAGCGTAAAGGATAACTTACGGCCAGCTAGTAATTTTATTGAATTACGGATTCTTTTTTGGAGGGTTTAGGAAGAGAATTCTAGTCGGTTGAAAATATTCTTAATGCTTGCACGCTCTCATCAGTGACTGAGAGGATATGATAATTGAACAGTAGTAGTTTGTCCCGGTTTTTAAATCGAATGAACGGACTGGTTGCATGAGTGTTCGTGAGTTCCCCCCCCCTTTGTGTAAAGTGGATAAGTCAGATTCCCCTTAAGTCCTCCAAGAAGGCATCCCTCCTTTGGTGGATGTGCATTGAATAATTAGGAAAAAAACCGATTTAATGCAAATGTGATTTTTTTAAAAATAATCTCAGCAAAATTATAATGCTAGTTTAAATACCTAATTTTTCCAATGGAAATGTTTAGATTAATGAACATATTCAGGCTATTAAATAGATTCTCTTACTATACAGCTTAGTTGTGTATTATTGGAGAATCTTGCGGTATATTACACAACTCTACTATAGAACATTAAATATGTATACGATAATCCGCTTGAATAGATTTTACACTGGATACAATATGTAACTTAAAAACAGATTACAGTTACACAGCCAGAAATATATAGGCCTATCCTGGGGATGAAATCTAGTTTTTTAAAAAATTTAGTGGGTATTATGTTGCAGTTGCTTTCAAAACTGCATTAGGTTATGCTCTGCAACGTGACTTCTTCACATGAATTGATCAGTTACCCCTCAAATTTAGTTGATTCGAATATGTGTTTCTTCGTCTTGGGCTCGGAGTTGGTTTTTAAATAAGAAACTTATTCTCAGACTCAGTTAGAAACTCCATAACAGCATATTAACAAGAAATAAAAATTTCATGTTTTAGAAGAATCCATAAAATTTGGTAAGGTTGGCAAACATTTATACAGTCCAAAGGTAGAACGTTTGTTGACATATCGGCACATTTGGTGATACCTGATAACATCCAAGTAACCCTTAAGCTGAAAAACATTAAGTATGATGATCGTAAAACAAAAAGAAAAACTTAGTTTTGCATTTTCACATTTCCTCTTAAAATACTTTATGCTACTTTACCAAATAAAAACAAAAATTACTTACAGCCAACACTAACGTATGTAAAACCTACGAATCTCCTTGTTCTTGCTTCTGGAATTGATACAAAACAGTAATAACATCCTGTGTCATTAACAGTGGCATTTTGCTTGCTGTATTCGATGGTATGTTCGTCTAAAATGGTCACGTTAACTAGTACACGATCGTCAAATTTTATTATCAAATTTGAAGATGACACATTATAAGTCAAGTGTCTTATCTTTATACGATTATGAAATATAGAACACCGTACTGCCATAGGTGATCCAATTTCCACATCAAAATCCAGCGTCACATCTGAAAGGAATACATTTTTTAATTAGCGGTAGCAATTAAACAAATGAAGCTAGAGTTAACTTATTGTAAAATGCTAAAAGTAATTTTTCAAAATGCTCAATTTGAAACATGTCGGTTGATAGATATTACTTGTATCAGTGATATACTTGAAATTCCATACAACTCTTCAAGAGCTGCAAGGAGAGTTTTAGTGATGCATGATTTTCTTCAGCTAACAAAGCGAAACAAATTAAAAATATTCTATTAATTATTGCAGCTTTCGATATTTTCTAGTTATTGGGACGACACTTCGTGCTAAACTTAAATATTCACACTAAATTTATCAGGAGATATTACCTCTGAGCTCGCATCCAATTTCAGGGAAAAATAAACCCAATATAAATAAGAAAATATGCAAATAGAAGCACATGCAATTATTCTAGCTAACAGGTCATTCTTGGTTCCGTCTTGCTTTATTTTTTGTTTTTTTACAAAATCAGAAAGTACATACAGTAGTAGGGTTACATAAACAATGACATCTTACATTCATATGTTACATACAATTCAGAGTGTATTTGATACAATACAAAATTGCCGATTATATTTTTATATTAACTTAATATAATAGACAAAAATGAATAAAATTAAAATGAACGAAGGGGGAAAATGCTTTACGTAACGTTTGCTTACTTAGCTAGTTGATGAATATGAATATCATTACAGAATTGCTATATATTTTAGGCAGTTTAGTAAGAGCTCCTTTGATTTTTAACATATATGAAGTCCATCTCCAGTATTTACCAGATGTCTTGGTCAAGTGAAAAGGTTTTGTATTTACAATAACTAAGTGATTATATTCAATGAAATCCACGAGTGGGGCCAATTTTTGAGCTTTAAGTGGCTGCCCTCTATAATGAGCCCGAAGCGTTGAAGTCTCCTTCCAAGGCATAATTTTTGAATGAGCTTAATTTAAGGTAATTTAGTTCAAATAGTAAGAAATCGATATTTTCACTAGGTGGTAAATAAGCAGAATAGATCAGAAAGCCATCTTCTGCTATATCCAAAGCTATGGAGATATGTGCTCAGTTGTCTTCTATATCATGGGGACAAGAAGCCATTGTGTACTATTGCAGCCAATTTATTTTGAGAAAGAATGATCCTGTTACGAGAAGTAAACTGATCAAGTGTGTGTGTGATTATGGCAAAGCCTCGAGGGCTATCTGCCTAAGAGGAGGGATGCCTTCGTGGAGGACTTTCTAAGGGAAACTGGCTCGTATACACGTTACACAAAACTGATCAAGAGTGTTATCTTTCGAAGTATATGGCTCTTGAAACAGGCCTATATCCGTGTCCAACTCGATCTGTTTCTGAATTATATGATGTGCTGCAACTACGGATCTTTGTAAGTTACACTGTAGAAATTTTAGACTTTGAAACTGTGATGAGAAGAAAACTTAATTCTGATTGGGGTTCCCAATAGTTGCTGCAGTTCTTTTTTGAAAGTCGGGCTAACTTGGAATTAGCCGTTTTATTGCAATAAAAAGGGCATATTTTATTTAGGTTAGTTTGTACAATTTATGTACGTCTTTCAGCCCTAGTGTGAAAAGGATAGTGAATGAACAACACTCATCAGAATTCGAACTCGCTATCACTTGGTTTAGTATACGGACATATTCTGAAGAACAACCGATATTCAGTACTTAACTGCTGTAGTTAATTTTGGAGGGGGAGGGGAACTACGTATTTGTATAAATGAAGCACTCAGAATCAATTATATAGTACACAATTGCATTATCAAGCTCTAAATGATACTGAAATTTAAAAATCCCGTTACTGGGAAATAAAACACATCAATCCTTAATTTTCTATTGTGGTTTCTATAGCTCAATTTTAATGATTATGAGGACAATGTTTGCTATACCAGATTAGACTACACCCGCATTAAATAAATAACACTTAAGAAAAATTCAGTTTAAGATTTAATTTGAAATAAAAAGGTTTATTATCGCTATTAAAGGCTTATTGTATTATAGCACATTTTAAGATACATTCCTAGGAAAGTTCCATTTTACTTATTTTTTACAAGAAACCCCTGTATATGGACACTTTGATGTTATAGCGACCACTGTGAAAGAAAGTAGAGTCCTGTAATCTCCAAAAATGAGCTCTAATTTAGAACTATTCTACCCAACATCTCGCGCAGAGAACTTATTTCACGAAACATATTTTACAACATTAATTCTTTTAGACTTTATATTTCATCTAGCTTGGAACTGCATAAAGTGGTTTTAGTACTAATAATGGAGACATTATCTGAAAGGAAACGTCAAAACGCTGAAAACGAAAATATATTAACTTTTCAAGAACTTTTAACTTTACGTCATTAAACTATTGACCAGTTTCTGGAGTTCACGTGCAATAGATAATGAATCCACTTTAAAATTAAATACAATTTTCATTTTTTGTGTTATGTTTGCGTTAATATTATGAGTTTTCTACTTGGCAGTTTTCATGCAGCATACTTTGTCACTGACCTAGATGCAGGGATGCTGATAGGCCTTTCGCCACTAGGTGCAATCTCTGGTTTCTAAATGCTGACGCCCGGCACCTGCCCAAATTGTAAACATTTTGCCTGTTAGCAAAGTCTCTGGCGACGGGCCTCCTAAAAGTATCCTTATTTGCTTTACGCAAGCAAATCTAAACCAACACTTTCCCCAGATTTTTATTGTACCCGAGGAAGGTAATGATTTAGACATTTAGCATTAGGCCACTATAAGATCCACTCTTAAGATCATTTAGATTTCGTTTGAATTTTGTTTTCAAAGATAAATATAAATGTTTAGCTGAGAAATAAATATGCACTTACTTCCACGATGAGTTGAATGAGATGGACAACACGCCCCTCTAGTAATGAACCATGTTAATGAAATTAGAGCAGTGAATAACATGAATTTTGTGAAATTTCCAAGAAGAAACTCGGCCATTTTTCTCTTCTGCTAGTTGTAGAAATACCAAAGAAGCTCTGAAACCCGTAAAAATACTCTAAATATTTTATCATAATGCAACTCAAAATTCCTTATAATGTTAAACGAATGCAGCATTGCGTTAATATTGTGAAAGAACCAGTTCTGAAAGCAAATAACTAATCTGAAAATTCTAAATAGGAACTTAAGCCATTTTTTTCTCCTGCTAGTTGTAGAAATACCGAAGAAGTTCGGAAACCCGTAAAAAATACTCTAAATATTTTATCGCAATGCAACTCCAAATGCCTAAAAGAATATAACGCTGCATTACTATTCTGAAAAAGATGAAAGTGAAGTTGTATTAGAAACCTAAATTTACGAACGCATGTAGTGCGTGCTTCTTTAGTATGCACTGAAAGATTTTAGAAACGTATACTATTGTTTATTTGAGGTAAAAACAAGTCCGCTAAACTGCTCATTTGGGAATCTGTTCATTCTGCGAAACGAAGTAGAGAGAAAGGGTAAAATTAGTTACGTTGCTTTCTTGAAATTTGGCTTTAAACATAAATTCAAGTAAATAATGTACAATACATTATTGTAGTCCGTTTTTATCTCAGGATATAAAATCAATTATTAGTTCAACAATATAATACGATTTCTGCATTCCTTAATGTTTCAAGTAAAAGTAAAGCGAGAATATTAAAAATAAACTGCTTAAAAATTTCTGAACTACAGATTAAATTACCAAGTAAGTTATAAAAATTTAGGTGGAGGAAAGCTGTGAAAGAGGTTTTACACCTGTTCTTCTAAGCTCATTAAATCTGTGCTTAGAGGCTTAGTAATATTTGATTTGTCCAAGTTTTTTATAATAATCAAAAGTTTAATAAGAAAATGAATTTGAACATCATACAACTCCTTTTTTCTAGTCATAATTCCGTCTGTTAGGTGTAAAAAGACTACATTTTCCCCAATCAGTGGTTTATCTGCTACAGATGTATTAATATTACTGACATTAAATTATATATATTCAAATGAAATCAACTTTAATCGTGCGATATTGGGTTTGTACCTTTCCGATTTTATCCTGTGTATTTTAAGGAAACGACTGTTAATCTTGCAACTATTAACTCGACAAGCCGAACGCTGCTGGTTAACAATCGCTAAGTGAGCATCAAGCTTAATTACATTTTCTTTATTTAATCTTCATTTATGAGGAGGTAATAGTTTAGTATCCGATGCATACCGTATTTTAATTCAGTTATTGGGCTATATTTTTTGTAGATGTTGGAACTGAATAAAATGATTTACATTAGCGCACTTAACATTAGTTTCCGAAATAATTTATGATTCAATAGCCGTAATTTTGCCATTCAGTATTATGCTTGGGTGGTAAGATTTATTTTGAATAGAAGAAGTTGAATCAATCTTGCATTATGAATTTTAAGAAAATCAAAAGTTGTATTTATAGCAAATGAAAGCAAGTCATGTCTTGAAAAAATAGCAATAATGCTTCAGGAGAAAATAGTATTTTTCTATATTTCATAAAATTTATCAGATGTTAATGTTTGAAATTTACGATTTTTAATTAAAAACAAGTTCTCAAAAGTGGTTTAATTACGTAATGTTTTTATTAAAGCTGCCCTTGGATAATACTTTCTAAATTAGTAAATTAAACACGAGTTCACGTACAGCAATCTAAACTCTCAATAGTCTTGACTATATCAAAGAAACCGAAAGTTTCGTACGTAAAGTGGTAAAGAAAACAAAAAAGTGACTTAAATATTACAGAAAAACCTCGCTTAACGCGAAACATTTATCCATTAACTTATGAATGGTAAGCGAAACTAAACATAAAAAAAGGAGCAGAACAAAGCGATTCATCAGTTAGTTTGGTACTATTCGGTTTCGAGGGCCGTAAAAAATCGCCAAACTATTGTTGATGCCAGTGCTGCCAAAAGTAATTGCGGCAACCCTAACGCAAGAAAGGAAGTATAATAGTAAACAACTATCTAAATATTGATGTTTTAATTTAGATGAACGTTTAATTTCATATAATATTTTGCTGCCGAGTTATCGCTAAAGCATAATGTCATCTCGTTGGTTGTTCAAATATAATTTTCTATAATGAATGATGCCTTTTCTTTGAAAACATTTTTGGTAAAGTGCAGAATCGCCCGCTTATTTCTTTGCCGCTTTTTACAAGGGTAAAAACAATTGGAATTTTGTCAATTTTCTTTTACTTTTTAAGTGACAATAGGTCGATGTGTACATAGATAAAGTCAAGGGTGTACGCAGTGCCACTTTTGTGCAATTCTGGGATTTTTTTTAAGTGAAAATAAGTCGATGTGTACATGGATACCGAGTATGTGCAATTCTTAAAAACGCGTCAAGCAGTGGGTGATTCTGCACTTTACCCAAAATTCTATCGCAGACTTTTCATCATAGGCAAGTCCCAAATTGTTAAATCCATAGGATATCAAAAAAGGAATTAAAAATTAAACTAGTATTTCAATGGCGTCTTAAGAAATATAGAACTATATAAACTTGCGCAATCTGAAATCAGCGCGTACGCGAGATTTGGCACGCTGTTAAATGGGCGTGTTTGCTAGATTTGGCGCTTTCGCGCATACTTTCGCTACAATTTTTTTACGGCCCTCGAAACCGAATAGTACCGTTAGTTTATATAAATTTGAAAGAGTTAAATTTTCTCTCGTTAGAAAATAAAAACTGCTAAAGCTAATAAAAATTAGTTGCTTAAAGTTTTATTAAAGATTTGGCTGTGCTAGATTTTAAGAAAGCTTAAAATTTACGTTTGAAAAGTGGTTAATCTTTTCTTGCTATGTTAAATTTTCAGTAACTTACGAAGCCCTTGGTAAGACTGAAGGAACCTAAAGTTTCATTCTATGCAAGAATCGATAATACTTCGGTTTATTTCCGTATAGGATGATACGCGCCAACTTAATATTTCTATCCAGGAAATATATTTTCGTCACGAACTCTGCAAAATTTTTCTAAACATAAGAGATGGATATTTCCTATCTCTTATGTTAGCCATTTCAATAAATAATAGGCAAAATAGAATAACTCAGTTCAACACTTTATAGACAGTACTTACATTTAAAATAACAACACTGTTGTACGGAATGAGGACAACGCATTTAATTTAACGGTATTCTATTAAATAATGTCGGCAGCAATACATTTTTGCAGAGAACTGTTTGGTGCTCTTTTTATGTTATCCAACAAAGGAAAAAATTCATATTTTCTTATACTGCTCAATGAAATTGAAAATAGCTTAAATTCATTCGCATGTGGATTCTTCTCTTCTTTTATATTTCGAAATTATACCGAAAAATATTGTCTAGCATAAAAAGATATCGTTAATCTTTGGATTATGGTAACTTGGCGATTTTTTGGCGAAAATATGGCGACCAACCCTGCTACAGCAACCTGCTAGTTTTTTTGGGGACGCCATTTTGTTTTCACGAAGTAAAGGCATTTCCTCCCCCCCCCAACAATCTGCTAGCCGAATTATGCTTATGCTAGAACTGTTATGGGACAGAAGTGCTTAATCATGACGAAGATTACGTGCGAAATTGGGAGAAAATGCAGAATCGCCCACTGCTTACCGCGTTTTTAAGAATTGCATATACACGGTATCATCCATGTACACGTCGAGCTATTTTCACTTAAAAAAACATCCCAGAATTGCACAAAAATGGCATTGCGCACACTCTTGACTTTATCCATGTACACTGCTAAAGTTCTAGCTAGTAACCTTTATCGCCTTACCAAAATGTTGCCAAACTACCTGTTACCATATTCCAAAGATTAGCCAAAGAGGTTGAGTTTCCGTTAACTGGTTTATGTGGTTTCAGTTAATTTACTAGGGGGTACCATTTACTATAGTATGACGGCAAGTTAAAAAGTCGTACTAACAAAATATATTAAACTTTTAACTCGTCATAACATATCATAGATGTCAAACCTTTCTCCAAGTCTTCTTTGACCAAGGTTACATTATTTTGCACTAACTTATTACTATCGAATTTAACACATAACTTTGTCGCCTCCGATACCCAATAAAAGATGTTGTAACGCATTAAAACTGCATTGGTGGCTTAATAATTTACCGAAACAAAAAAAGCATCATTTAATTAAAGAATGTTAACTTAATTACCTTCAACGTTGAAATCGTAAAAGAAAATTCGTACAATGAGAAATCTTGATAAATATCTTAAGCTTCGATTACAATTTTAATGTGAATTAATTTATGCATTTACTAATGAAACATTAAAAACTATCAACACAGTTTATTTACTTTAATAGCCTTTCGGCGTAAACTTCAAATGCAGAAAAAATCACAGCTAATTTAATTTGAATTCCTGCTTTAATTAGCGTTTTTAACATAAGAAATGATAATACTTACAATAAAATCCTGAGCCGATGGTTTCCTACGTAGACCAGTGCTCTAATGAAACAATCACTTTCTAAACACGTCTTTATAAGACAATCTCATGCGGTCACAGTTTCAGATAATTCCTTTTTAATCACGTCAATTTCTAGCTCTACTTCAAAATTTCAGATTTAATAAAGTATTTCATTTAACTCATGCTAATTTTTTTATGAATTACTGTATTCTTTTTGTAATAAACAAGTATAAATATATAATAAACCCAAGCGTGCTTTGAATTCGAGGTAATAAGTATATGGATTCTTACTTGCGAACTCAGTTTACGCCTATAGGTTTCTTTCAACAGGTTTTCACCCAGTGTTTATTAAAGAAGTTATAGTTTTGCAAGTGAAATTAGCCAAGGATGTTGTCCTAAGCAAAGATACTTAGCAATCTTATGAACCATGTCCATTGTGGTTTGGGGTATTGTTGTTAGAGGCATTTGTTCATTGTTTCATTGGCTTGACTATTTAGATTTATTTCAAGCAGTGCGCCACCCAGACGGTATAGTAGTTAGGGTAACCGACTGCAATACCGAAAGGCCCGGGTTCGAATCCCGGTGGAGGCGTGAATGTAAGCCATCTGTCCACTCATAGGAAGTAACGGTGACGGCCTGTTAGGTACCTCCATAATAAAACGACCATCACTTCTGGCCTTAGTGAGGGCGAAAGCCTAAAAATGGCTAGTGCCCGCCATTGAATGCGAGTAGTGCTGGCTTAGGAATAGCAGAAGTTGCGATCGCAGAAAGTGAGCGGGTAGCACCACGGAAATCAGGATTTGAGGTATTTTCTTTCCTTTCCTTTTCTTTCTTTTTTTCAATGATCTATTTGTCAAACAGATCGGCAACTCGCTTGGGATCAAATATATTACAGCTTGCCATTTGTACTTATATTCTACACTTACATGATAGAATTCTTGAATGTGGGAGCCGCATGTCCTCTTTGTATGGCCTATTAAGTTATACGCATTTATTGCTGCACTTCATTTAAATTCATTCCCTCGAATTTCGTTACAGATATACTTCTCATTCAATCAATTGAGTTCTTACTTTGCGGCAAAGCAAAAATACATAAAAACTCAAACACCTTCATTAAAAATTGTAAAATGCAGGAAAACATAAAACACAAAATACAGTTAAAACAGTTAAACAGTTTTTACAATTAAAATTATAGTTTCTACGCAAAAAACAAGCAATACTGGCAGCTGGCAAGATGGCAGATTTTGGAGTACACCAAAATGTAAAGTTAAATTTTGGCCCATTGAGCAGAGCGACACTGAAGTTGGTGCTCAAACTGACTTAATTCACTGTGCTACTAAGCGTTTTAAATCTAAACAAATTCGCACCAAGTTAGGCCTAGCTCTAGTAGGCTATTTTACAGTTTTAAACTGTTGTGTTGCATGCAGATTAACCAAAGGGATTAATAACCTTAACTGGAACATAAGAAGAACATAATTCAGTCACTTGTTTAAAAAAATACATAATTTGCCAACATATAAGAATAAAATACAAAGCTCCCCGGAAGTTCGGTGAGCATATTGTCATGCATATAAGGACAGAGAGATTATTCTCTGTAGATTATGTGACAAATATTTTTCAGTTGGCTAAAAATCTCTCGAATTTCAAAAGTCATGAGTAAATACAAATAACCATCAGCCAAAATGATCAGATAAGTGACGTTTGCCGAAACGAAAGTTATTAACTGATAGCTATGCGTACGAAAAATGCTAACTTGATTGAAATTTAAGATATTAGGCAAAATTCGACGTATTCAAGAGACTAACTCACCATTTGTTTTATTTTTTTAAAGGATAAAAATTATTCTGAAATACATGTCCTATTTCAAAATAATAAATCCGAACATTGTGATACTTTTTTAAAACAAATGAAGTAAGTTTAATTTTATCTGATTTTAAATAACAGAGTTATGGCATAGTAAATGAGATATATGCCAGAAAACTGCTGCTATTTTTACTTGCAGCTTGTGTTTTGAGTGCCATTTTTAGACGTTTTTAGTTACGTATTCTACTCTTCTCACGTAATTTTCCTCTTAGAAATTTAGCACAAGGTTCTGAAGCATTAACTATTGAAGTAAGTTTCAGCTTCTTCAAGGTGTTCGTAAAGCGAGCTCCTCTGAATTTTAAAATAAATTGGTCTCCGTAGTGATTGTTTTCATCTTACTAATGGATTTGATCGTGCATTTGCATGAATATAGCTTGACTGATGAAGAAATAGTAGTGAAGAGCTTCAGGAAAGAGGCATAACTAATGTTCTTGATGATTCTGAAGATTACTGCATGTCGGAAGACAGCTTGAACGGTGACAAAGATGATGAGAATGGTGATGACCTGTAAGCTGAAGCAACCACTACAGCCAGCAGTTCCAGCTATATTCAATGATTTGGGGGCCTGAGTCAGGATTCAAGGAAGTAGAAATAAAAATATTTTATTAAACAAATATAAATATTATTAAGTACTGTTATTGAACGTAAATTTCTTTTAAATAATTAATGTTGTGATAGTTAACCGGTAGCTTTTTTCATGAATACTTTTATTTTTTTATGTTCTTACTGTAAGTTCCTTCCGGATTTTCCGGCGATGAAGTTGCTAAAAAAAACATTTGATGTAGACATCACATGATCTGCTTGTACGACCTGTTAAATTGTATACGTTTTTTGCTGCACTTCATTTAAACTTATTTCATCGAATTTCATTAGAGATATATTTCCTATTCAATAAAATCAGTTCTCGTGTCGCGGCAAGGCAAATACATAAAAACTCAAAGCATATTCATTAAAAATAGTAAAATACAGAGAAACCTAAATCCCGAAATACCGTTAAAATGTTTTTACAACTAAAATTAGAGTTTCTGCGCAAAAATTTACAATTCGGCCAGGGGGCAGGAAAACAAAATTGAAAGTTAACGTTTAGTCGCACTGGGCAAAAAGACATTAAATTTGGTGCAGCAACTGATTTAATTCAGTATTCCACTAAAAGTTTCAAATGAAAATAAATGGCGGCTTTGTTAGACTTATCGTCACTTAAATTTTTATATTGTCGATAATTCTACAATTATTTCATGCAGATTAGATATAGGCATAAAATCCTTAACAGGAACATAAAAACAACATAATTCAATCATATTTAAAGCAAAAATTGCAAAATTTATCAAAAATATAAGAAAAAAAAATTATGAGCTCACCAAGCCGGGTAGCAGAGTGGCAATATATATATATTTACATATGATTGGTGCCGCCCAATGCAACAAAAAAAGTATGGCGCACAACTACATGTTATAGCAGCCCCATATGTAAAATTTCAAGGTTCTATGGATACTCAAATACATACATACGTAGAGATGTCACGAAGTAGTCTCCTCTCAATCCAATTTCAACCCATTTTACAATTTGCTTTGAATTAAAAAAAAAAAAAAAACACAGTCATTTATTCTGTCCGTACGTACAAATATCATGCAAAAACATCATCCAAAATGGATTGGAGAGGAGTCGAGATTTTTCGGAAAGAGGGAAGTATCCGGACTCTTAGGAATGCTCCGCTTCCGTACTGTTACTGCATTGGCAAAAAAATTGAAAATGTAAGCGCAAAATTTTCAGCTTGGAATATACGCGTGGAATACAGAAATAATATTAAGGAGAGGGGATGTATATGAATAGTAGGAAAAAAGCTTTTTGAAAGCAGAAAATGAAAATTTAAAAAATAATTAAATTAGCGGTCCACAGCAGATTTTAATTTTTTAGTTTCACATATTAGAATTAAAGGTTAATTAAAGAGGAAAAAAACATTTACTTACTATCTATGTGACACTTTAAAGCAAACTCTCCCATACTTGCCAGTTTTACAGGAACATATGGCCTAGCGATTGTTTTCACAAGCTTAAAGCCATTTAGAATATTCTTTCTTAGAAAGCCAATGTGTGACGCAAACATATGCATCGTTTATTGGCAGAAAGGAAGTACATTTTTCCCATGAAGAATAATTTTAATTTCTCAAATGTAAATTTACTTTTGAGAAATTAAAATTATTCTTCATTCTTTTATACATTCCTATTACATATTTCTATACATACATATTTTGCTGAAATAAAATAATAAGCATGAAATCAAAATTTTCAGTCTTTTTTAAAAATTATTTTTGCTGATTTTTATTATCCAGGAACAATATTCTTTTTTTCTTTTACATGCATTCTTCAACGCATCTGTTGACACATCTAATATCGAAAAAGAGAAAGTTTTAAGATTTTCCAAGAGGCTTCGATACGAGTTCGTCGTAGCTTATATTCGAGTTTCCAAATGGCCTATATCATCTGAAATTGGAACGTTCATTTTCTTAAATCTAGAAATGCATCTCCGAATGCTCCTCTTCACTGCAATCCAGACAATGAAAACGAGAGAAATGACAAAATGATTCATCGTTATGGCACAGAATCCTAACCACAGACCCATGTAACTACCAATGTAGCTGAAAAGTTCGATTGGCTGAAATCAAGAGAATTATAATTAGAAAATTCTCTGGTATGAATTTCGATTGAAACAAAATAATGGAAGAGCATTAAAAACAACATATTATAATATATAAAGTAAGTAACTAAAATTCACATGTTAAATAAAAAACATGGAGAATTTTTCCTTACAGGGTAGAAATACATAATTAAAAGGATGAGACAAAGGATGAGTACGATAGCATGAATTATGTTAAGCCAAACGACAGTATAATCTTTTTGTCTCAAAATGTGAATATTGCTTTGTCAAAGCCTTAAAATAGCATAAAAGTTATAATAATCATTAATGAAAACAAACGATTCGCCAGAAGAATGTATGGCGTTGGAATTATCTTTTATTGATTCCAATAAAGCTACAAATAATTATAAAAATTATCAGTTGAATGTATTAGAAATTAAATCTTTTAAAATATACTCACTAAATACGCTTTTAAAATTAAATTAAATCACAACCTACAAGCTACCTTCAATAATATCATGTCTCATCATTATCGGTAGCCGCAGGAAACCATAGAGTGACAGTGGCAAAGCACTTGATGGTCACTCTGCCCGGTGGCGGAGTGCATTAAGAAAGTAAGCTTGTTGCTTTTAGGTCGCTCAGTTTGTAGGGTTTATATTTATTTTAACTAACATTTATTTTAGGTTTAAGCTATCTTTCCTGTCAAGCCTTACTTTCCCCTAGAATTGCCAATGCCAGAGTATGTAAATTGTAGTAGAACGCGCAGTATATTCAAATTTTAGCAGGAGTAAGTTGAGTTTAAATAGAAGGGAAACGAGTTTGTAAGTGTGCTTCTTGAATCGCTAACGTGAAGGTTGCTAGGTAGAAATTTAAGAACCTCGCGTTTCGGCCTGTGTGCTTATCTCGGCAGTTCGTTGAATCTTTCAACTGCTTAATCAGTAAGCTCGCTGAATCTCAGCTGTATTTTAGAACGCGGTTAAGTTAGTTACGATTTCAGAGCCTCGTAGGTAGTGATCTACTTGTTTATTCATCCTGTCATTAATTTTTAGTTTCACATTTCTGTTTTTGTTAAACCGCCGGGTCGGCGTAGTTTGTGAGCGTCAAGTGGACGCAGCTGTTATTTCTAAAGTGGAATAAAAGGGCTTTAAACCTTTCTTACGTGTTTGTGTAAATTTACAGCTCATAGCAGTCACTACCACAATTGCTGACAAGTTGGGGCCACACAATACTACATTGGCGCCCGAACATCTTACGATTTCAGATGGCCGATAACTGGATGGAAGCTCCTGTACAACTCCAACAGCAAGAAATAGCGAACCAGTTAGAAGGATTTGGATACCTGGTCCAAACGATGAGAGCATCTATCAAGCCAAACGTCAATTTCGACGGAAAAAATTCGGTGGCGATATTCTTAAAAGGTCTCAAAAATCACTTCCAGTTATACCCTGTGCCTGAAAGACAAAAAGTTGCCATTGCCACGTCTGCACTAAGAGGACAGGCCTCACTATGGTGGAAGAGTATAGGGAAATTTTTATTAGGAGAATTCGGAGGCCAAACATATACCTTTGAAAATTTAAAAATATCATTATTAAACGCCTTCCCCATAGTGAAAGACCGAGGAAAGCTAGAAGCCGAACTGTATAATTTTTATCAACGTAATATGGGAGATTTGACGGACTTTATTCTGCGAAAAGTTAAGCTGACAGACATGCTGTATGGAAAGAAACCCGACACAGATATAATTGAAATAATTTTACCAAGATTGCTACCTGCTGTCCAAGATTACTTGGAAATCCGAAATCCAAGCACCTTGCAGGAACTCTTCGAGTTGGCGGTCAAGTTCCAAAACCGAAGAATAGCGGAAAAATTTAGAGGGGCATCGTATTCTCAAGGTCACCGAAGGCAATTCTCAAATCAACAGACCGGAAACACAAATCGTTCATATGAGGGAAAGAGCTATCAAGCCAACACATCGAAGCTCGAAGGTCAAGGCACAAAAAGGAAATTTGAAAAAAAAAAAACCGTCCGCGTACCCAAAATACTGAAGTTGAAAAGAAAGCTTTAAACGATTAGAGAGGCCTGTCAAAGCGAGGGTCCGGACCCCTAAAGTTTCGCAAGAACCCTCAAGAAGATACCTAAATACGGTCGTAAGTGGTAAAGAATTCAATTACCAATTATACAAGTCCTGGTTGGCGATGTTCCAGTAGAAGCCCTCATTGATACAGGGGCAGAAGATAATTTTATGAGGGATAAATTTTTCAATAAGAATTTTAATAGATTACGGTTATTTAAAAATAAAAACACAGAAATTATAGCCGCCCAAGGAAAAATCTGTCAATGTATCGGGAAATTATCATTAAAAATACAGATAAAAGATGAGGGAGCCTTAAAGTATTAATTTTTGTGGTGAAAAATTTACAGAATCCAGTCATCTTAGGCATGGAGTTTTAAAGGCCGCGAAAGCCAAGCTAAATTTTCAGGAGAATTCGATTATGCTGGAAATGGATCGGAGGGTGGTGGAGCCAGTGAAACAACCGCAGGTAGACTTGAGCCATTTGAGTGTCCATGAAAGCCAAGCCATCCAGCAAGTGGTGAGTACTTTTTCAAAACTTGTTTTCAGAACGGCCTGGTATCTGTCAAATTGTAACAGCATGATATACAACTAACTGCCGATAAACCCTGTAGGACTAAACCCTACCGGTATGATAAACAGAAAGAACAAATTATTGAGGAACACATTCAGGAAATGCTGCAGAACCAGATAATAACGCCCATAAATAGTGAGTACGCGAGTCCAGTCGTACTATGTAGGAAAAGAGACGATTTCCCTCCTTCGGATAAAAGGGCTTGGAGGTTTGCTATCGATTACAGAAAACTTAATAGTATTACTAAGTTCCCGGTTTACCCTTTGCCGGTAATAGAGGAAATTATTAGAAAGATTAAGTCTACGAGATACATGACTACGTTGGACTTAACGTCTGGCTACTATCAAATAGCTATGAGACCTGAAGATATACACAAAACCACGTTTATCACAAAATCGGGCACTTATGCATTTTTACGCATGCGCTTTGGTTTTTGTGGGGCACCGTCAACATTCCAGAGAGCTATGGACATTGTTCTAAAGCCTGTCCTAGGAAAATCGACTTTAATCTATCTAGATGATATAATTATAACGAGTAGTACGTTGGAACAACACATTAAAGACATGGAAGAGGTTTTTAAATTATTAAAAGAGGCCGGTCTTACAATTAACGCATCAAAATGCACGTTCGCTACTAAAGAACTTAAATATCTGGGTTATAAAATTCCGCAAAAGGGTATAGAAACTCAGGATTCAAAAATAAAAGCCATCAAGAATTTCCCACCTCCCAACACCGCCAAGAAACTTTCTTCTTTCCTTGGGTTATGTTCTTATTATCGGTCGTTCATAAAAGATTTCGCGAATATTGTTGAACCGTTGTTATTAATTAAAAGAAGAAAACGTAAGTTTACGTGGACAGCAGAAGCAAATACAGCATTTGAAAGGTTAAAAGAAGATCTCATCAATGCCCCTGTTTTGAAATTCCCGGAAGGGGACGAAAACCTGGAAATTGCAGCAGATGCGTCGGACTATGCTGTAGGTGCTGTTCTCATGCAAAATGGCCATCCTTTTTGGCATTTTTTAGTAAAACTTTGAACCCTACGCAAAGGAATTATACAGCTACAGAGAGAGAAACATTAGCCGTATTAATGGCTGTACACAAATTTCGAGTTTATTTCGGCAAAGCGCCAGTAACAGTCTTTTCGGATCATGCGGCTGTTGGTAGACTTTACTCGGGGAAAAACCTAACGCCCAGGTTAATAAGATGGGCTTTAAAACTTCAAGAATATAATATAATAATTAAATATAAATCAGGGAAAGAAAATAATGTAGCTGACGCACTATCCCGAATAAAACTGGACGATGAAGGGATTGAACTCAAATGCGCTGTGTTAACTTCTAAAATTTTAGATTATAGAGAAACAATTATTGCTGAATGGAAAGCTGATCCTGAATTTGGAAGTATTTATGCTTATTTAAAAGACCCCGAAATCTTTGAACACACCGATGTCGCCGCAATAAGAAGTAGAGCAGAAAACTATGAAATAATAGATAATTTATTGTTTTATACGAAATCAACAAACGAAAATTTGGAGTATAGACCAGTCATCCCAGCCTCGCTTCGATTGAGCATTTTGAAGGAATTACAAGACGCGAAAACAGCGGGTCATTTAGGGGTCAGAAAGACTTTAAAAAGGGTACGCGAGGCGGTATATTTCCCGCAATTATACAAAATAGTAACTGCGTATGTCAGATCCTGCAATCAATGTTAATTAATAAATGATATTAATTACAGCCCGGCTGGGTACTTAAATAGCATTCGCGCTACATTTCCGAATGAAATTTTAGGCATAGATCTTCTTGGTCCTTTTCCCCAGAGTGAGTTAAATAAAAATCGTTTTCTTTTAGTAATTGTAGATCATTTTTCAAAGTGGACCGAAATTGTTGCACTTAAACGCGCGTCAGCCAAAACAGTTGCAGATGCATTCTTACACAGGTACATTTTAAAATACGGTGCACCGATAAAAGTCATTAGCGATAACGGTAAACAATTCGTTAGCCAAATTTTTGAAAACATTTGCTCTGGACTTGGCATAAGCCATATCAAAATGGTCCCTATAGACCACAGGCAAACATCGCAGAAAGAGTGAATAAAAATATTGTAAAAATAATTCGAAGCCATGTTAGCACACATCACAAGCGCTGGGATGGCTACATAAATGAGTTAGCTTATGCTTTAAGAACAGCAAATCATGATACTACTGGGAAAACTCCAGCAGAATTATTTTTAGGACGTAAGTTAATTACGCCATTAGATAAATTATTTTTTGTGCAACAAAGGGAAGAAGAATTTAAAGAAAAAGATATACAGAAACTTATCGATCAGGCGATTAAAACTCGGATGAAATTTTATTACGATCGAAAACGCCGTGAA